TTCCCTTTCTCCCCTAGCAAAGGGGACGTAACACAGGGTCTACAGCTTTTACACAGATTTCTCTCAGATGTTTGAAGCCGGGGTTTAAAATGCAGCCTGTGATCTTAACTCTGATTTTAAAACCCAAATCTCAAATTAAGGTTAGGTTTATTGTACCAGAGGGAACCTTATCTTCTGTATTTGACCCATTTCTCGGTGTCTCTGGTTAAACCTGTCAGGAGCAGTGGGACCATCTCCAGATCTTGACCTAGGACGAGGGGTGGGCGATATCTCGATATTTAAAATATATCGAGATATTTTTTTAAACTTGATTTGGATTTTTACATATCGTATATATATTGATATTATGCTTATATATTCTGATTTCGCCCCTTCGCTTATTGCCGTCTCTGTACTCGTCCCCGCGCACCTCCACCTCCTCACTTTTTTTCCCCCTCCTCTCTCATGCTCCCCTCTTGTGTGTCTCATTCAACACGGTGCTGCCCAAAACCAGCCTGGAGAATACAGAACTCGTCTCAAAAAAGGACAACTGGCTCCATTATACGGAGATACTTTGATTTTAAGGTGTTGGACGAACAGCAGACACGTGTCTACTGTTAGTACGTGTCTAAGTTAGTAGCACCATGTGCCTTTTCCACTGTTTACAGACAAGGCCAACAGTAGCACGTCCTCTGTCACAGAGAGACCAATAGATCCATGAAGAGAACACCTATATTCCACTGAGTCGTGTCCTTTAGTCCAACAGAAGCTGAACTGCATCAGCGACACAAGAAGCAAACTGTTTTTGTTTTTTTTTGTTTTTTCCAGTGCTACAGTTTATGCAAATTAGCCATGCAGTTTTAAGTTTAGTTTCTGTAAAACCTAAACAAATGTTTGCAAAGTTGCATTAAACACATTATAATCTGAAACGGGCTGATGTGACTCTATAGTAAAGCTTTATGTGTTGTAAAGTTTATTCATGTAAATTTTATTTCTGCAGAAGATTTAAATTCATAATCTGCTGAAGTGTAATTTATACAATGTTGGGTTTGATCTGTGTAGTGGATTGTGGGATACCTCAGAGCTCCTTACAGCTGGTGAGGAACATGGATCTATTAATATAAGGAACCTCCCAAACTTCCTGTGCTAAAGGAGCTCATGGTTATGATTATCATATGGTTAACAGAGTTAATGCAAACATGAACTTGAGCTGAGTTGTTTTAATTTAATTTTAAATGAAAAGAAGGCAATATGTATTATTTTTGTATACAGAGATGTTTTTATTAATGTCACAGAAGCACTTTGTTCCTAAATGAACACTGTGGAATTTGTTTGTACAGTGGATTTGGGGGGTTATTTTTCCTGTACAGATATCGAGATATATATCGTATATCGAGATATAGCTAAATATATCCAGATATATTTTTTGCTCCATATCGCCCAGCCCTACTCAGGACTACCTCAGCTGGAAGATTTGAAAATGGGTTGATGTAGAAAATCTCAGAAAACCCAGCCAGACAAAAGAAGAACATGCAGGCTCCACACAGAAAGGCCCAGGAGTGGAATAGGTGTTAGAAAAATTGCAACCCACAGTTCTTTTTTCCCTAAAACTGTTCCCCCGTTACTTTCTTGCTGTTTATTTTCTAGTTCATCAGATATTTCTCCGTGTGATCTGCCTCTCCCTGTCCCTGTTTTTGTCTCACCTGTCTCCTGTCCCTCTCTTCTTTTTTTTTAAATACCCTCGTTTAATCCTCCTCTTTTTGTCTTTGTGACCTGGTTTAGCTCTGTCTCTCCTCTCTGAAGATTCACCTTTTGTAAACGAGTCTTTGTAGTGAGACGGTGTAGAGTTTCAGAGGGAAAAGCCGCTGGTAACGGGGCGTGAACTGGACACACTCATCAGATTAAGAAGCTTTTGTTTAAATGGACAGAGTTTTAAGTTGACTTTTAAGTAGATGTTTAACTATAAGACTAACAGGACTAACCCAGACCTGGCTCTGATTTCATAGACCTGGTCTAGACCTGTTTTAGTCCTGGTTCAGTCCAAGTTTAGATCTTGTAGTCCTGGTTCAGTTGTGGTTATGTCTTGGTTCAGTCTTGATTCAGTCCTAGTTTAGTCCTACCTTAGTCCTGCTTTAATCTTGCTCTAGTCCTGGTTTGATTCTGATTTAGTCCTTGTTGAGACCTGCTGTAGACCTTGATTAGATCAGGCTGAGTCTGGTTCAGTCCTAGTTTTAGTCCCACTTTAGTCCCGCCCTAATCTTGCTTTAGTCCCACTTCAGTCCTGGTTGAGACCTGGTCCAGACCTTGTTAACTGAGTCCTGGTTCAAAATGGTTTCAGTTCTGTTTTTAAACCTGTTATTACATGTGGTTGAGACGTGGTTGAGACCTGGTTGAGACCCAGTTGAGATGTGGTTTAGACCCGGTTGAGACTTCATTAAGACTTGGCTGGGACTCGGTTGAGACGTGGTTGAGACCCGGTTGAGACCTGATTTGGACCTGGTTAAGACCCGGTTGAGAATGATTTAAATGAAGTGTGTTAGTTTTGGTTTTCCACAGACAGACAGTTCTTTGCAGATGTCTGTGGAAATCCCCCTTTAAAAAGCACAGATTTTAATCCAGTCTCTGATCTAATCTGATGTAATCTGACACCTCTGGGATTACACCAGATTATCCACTCCTGGACTTTCCCTCAAATTTGGACTTTTCTAATTAACAAAATCCAAATTAATATTTTTCTACAGACTAGACCGGGACTAGACCGGGACTAGACCGGGACTAGACCGGGACTAGACCAGGACTAGACCAGGGACTGAACCAGGGACTGAACCAAGACTAGACCAAATCTGAACCATGACTACACCACATTTCTTATGAACAAAATCCAAATGATTCTCTTCTTTGTCTGCTCTTTAATGGATTTGGCTCTGAATTTAAATGAGCAGATTATAATTCTCCTCATTAAAATCAGGCTGGATTTCTTTGTGAAGTGTTTAAAAATGTGAAGTTATATATTTTTTTTTTCCTTTTCAGCCTGAGGTGTTCTGGCAAACGCCAATTTCTCGTTTCACAAAATCAATAAAACAACGAAAGGATCTCCAAAACACAGCTGTTTATCACATCATCTCTGACCTGACAACACGGGGATTTTTACACAGGAAATGCCTTTAGGAGACCTGCTTCAGACTTGGTTTAGTCCTAGTTTAGACCTGTTTTAGTCCTGGTTGTAGTCCTGGTTTAGTCCTTGTTCAGTACCTTTAGTCCTGATTTAGTCCTGTTTAAGTCCTGGTTCAGTCCTGGTTCAGTCCCGGTTTAGTCCCTGGTTTAGTCCTGCTTTAGTCCTGCTTTAGTCCTGGTTCAGTCCTGGTTCAGTCCTGGTTCAGTCCTCGTTTAGTCCTGGTTTAGTCCTGGTTTAGCCCTGCTTTAGTCCCTGGTTTCAGTCCCGGTTTAGTCCCTGGTTTAGTGTCTGGTTTAGTCAGTCTGGTTTAGTCTCTGGTTTAGTCCTGGTTTAGTCTCTGGTTTAGTCTGGTTCTGGTTTAGTCCTGGTTTAGTCTCTCTGGTTTAAGTCCTGGTTTAGTCTCTGGTTTAGTCCTGGTTTAGTCCTGGTTTAGTCTCTGGTTTAGTTCTGGTTTAGTCCTGGTTTAGTCTCTGGTTTAGTCTCTGGTTTAGTCTCTGGTTTAGTCTCTGGTTTAGTCCTGGTTTAGTCCTGGTTTAGTCCTGGTTTAGACCTGCTTTAATCCTGGTTTAGTCCTGTTTTAGTCCTGGTTTAGTCCTGGTTTAGTCTGGTTTAGTCCCTGGTTTAGTCCTGGTTAGTCCTGGTTTAGTCTCTGGTTTAGTCTCTGGTTTAGTCCTGGTTTAGTCCTGGTTTAGTCTGGTTAGTCCTGGTTTAGTCCTGGTTTAGTCTCTGGTTTAGTCCTGGTTTAGTCCCTGGTTTAGTCCTGGTTTAGTCTGGTTTAGTCCTGGTTTAGTCTCTGGTTTAGTCTCTGGTTTAGTCTCTGGTTAGTCCTGGTTTAGTCCTGGTTTAGTCTGGTTTCTGTTTAGTCCTGGTTTAGTCTGGTTTAGTCTTAGTCTTAGTCTGGTTTAGTCTGGTTAGTCTCTGGTTTAGTCTCTGGTTTAGTCCTGGTTTAGTCCTGGTTTAGTCTCTGGTTTAGTCTGGTTTAGTCTCTGGTTTAGTCCTGGTTTAGTCCTCTGGTTTAGTCCTGGTTTAGTCTCTGGTTTAGTCTGGTTTAGTCTGGTTTAGTCCTGGTTTAGTCCTGGTTTAGTCCTGGTTTAGTCTGGTTTAGTCTGGTTTAGTCTGGTTTAGTCTGGTTAGTCTGGTTAGTCCTGTTTAGTCTGGTTTAGTCTCTGGTTTAGTCTCTGGTTTAGTCTCTGTTTAGTCTCTGGTTTAGTCTCTGGTTTAGTCTCTGGTTTAGTCTCTGGTTTAGTCTCTGGTTTAGTCTCTGGTTTAGTCTCTGGTTTAGTCTGGTTTAGTCTGGTTTAGTCTCTGTTTAGTTTAGTCTCTGGTTTAGTCTCTGGTTTAGTCCTGGTTTAGTCTCTGGTTTAGTCTGGTTTAGTCCTGGTTTAGTCCTGGTTTAGTCTCTGGTTTAGTCTCTGGTTTAGTCCTGGTTTAGTCTCTGGTTTAGTCCTGGTTTAGTCTCTGGTTTAGTCTCTGGTTTAGTCTGGTTTAGTCCTGGTTTTAGTCCTGGTTTAGTCCTGTTTAGTCTCTGGTTTAGTCTCTGGTTTAGTCCTGGTTTAGTCCTGGTTGTTCTTTGGTAAACATTTGTGTATTTCCACGTGGCCAAGTCTAAATTACCTTTACCATTTCTGAATAAGACGGAGTAAATCCCAGTGAGAGTCTGCGTGTGTGATCAGTTGTTTGTATTTGCTCAGACTCTGAGGACGTCCTCTCGCTCTAATCTCAGACAGCTCCTGTTTCCTGTTTCATGTTTGTTTATTCCTGTTCACTTCCTGTTTAGACTTTCACAGTAAAAGCCTGCACTGGGTTTATAATGTTTGTTTAATTTAGTTTGATTTTGTTTTGACAGATGCAGAGACTGACGGAGGAGAGCTGGACCTCAGTGGAATAGATGACGAGGAAATAGAACTGGTATGGACCTGATGGAAAAAATAAAATCAAATCAAATCATAAAATAAAAACAACAAAACATAGCATTCTTACTTTTTATTTTAAAGGAGTGATATTGTGTAAAATAGTCCAAACTGGCTGAATAATGTAGAAAAGTGTAATGTGGTTGGTTATGACGGGTAGGCTCTGTTGGACAAGTGACTTTAAAACTGTAATTTATGACTTGTTACTCTCATTTCAAAGTAATTAGTTACATTACAATATTATTGTGTTTAAAATCTAAGACATTACACGACTACTGCAGCACTTTTAAGTTACTCTCACCAAAATAACTGTGAAAATGCTGAATTTTTGCGCCTTATATGGACTAAACCAGGACTAAACCAGAACTAAACCAGAACTGAACCAGAACTAAACCAGAACTGAACCAAATCTAAACCAGAACTAAACCAGAACTAAACCAGAACTAAACCAGAACTAAACCAGAATAAACCAGAACTAAACTAAACCAGAACTAAACCAGAAACCAGACCAGAACTAAACCAGAATAACCACTAAACCAGAACTAAACCAGAAAACAGACTAAACCAGAACTAAACCAGACTGAACCAGAACTAAACCAGATCTAAACCAGAACTAAACCAGAACTAAACCAGGACTAAACCAGTGCTGAACCAGGACTCAACCATGACTGAATCAGGACTGAACCAGGACAAAACCAGGACTAAACCAGGATTAAACTAGGACTTAAACCAGAGCTGAACCAGGTCTGAACCAGGAGTAAACCAGAATTGAACCAGATGAACTGAACCAGGACCAAACCAGGACTAAACTAGGACTAAACCAGAGCTGAACCAGGCCTGAACTAGGTCTAACCCATGTCTAAACTGAGACTAAACCAGGACTAATCTTGGACTAGAACTTGGAATCTAGGACCGCCCCTGAGAGAACCCCGAGCGCGATCGGGTGTCAGCTGTGTTTAGCTCCGTGGAGTGTGGAGTTCTGCGTCAGTCCTTTCGCTCGCGATCACGGTCTACGCGAGCGCACCTCCGGCGTTTCACCGCTGCTGACATCGCGGTGATTTTAGTGAGTTTGTATGAAGAAAAACAAAAAACCCACCACTTCAATCCAGATTTTAAAAAAAGCATTACTGACATTTGTACTGAGTAAAATATTACCACTTTTTTCCCTGTAATTCCGAACATTACTGCGTTACAGCACAAAGCAATGGATTAAAGTAATTTGTTACTTTTATAACACGTTACTCCCAACACTGCGGTGCGGGTAGGGCATCTGATGTAATGCTCTTCCATGTATTTCTCTGTGGAGTTTGCATGTTCTAGCTGTGCCTGTGTACATTTATTTGGGTGCTATGGTTTCCTCTACCAATAAAAACCTTTAAATCAAAAAGTTTAATACATTTTTATCTGCAGTTTTAAAATCTGAGTAAACAGAAATACTATAATAACTGCACATTTTTGTCAATATTGCTATCACAATCTTTATTTAATATTTTTTGCTGTGTTTTTCTCATTAAAACTTGTTTATTTTTGCTTATTTTTTAGTATCTTCTGAACGACAGAGAGATCCAGATCAAAACGGCGCTGTGGATGGCAGAAAACTCCGACTACCTCAAAGAGCAGAGAGGTTTGTGTGGTTTATTACTGACGTTTAATGGATTTTGTTTCATTGTAAGAATAAGTAATACTAATGTTTTTTATTTTCAGAAAAAGAAGCCAAAATCGCCAAAGAGAAAGAGCTCGGCATTTACAAAGAGAGAAAGGTAAAATCACAAACTACAAACTGACTAAACCAGGGACTAAACCAGGACTAAACCAGGACTAAACCAGGACTAAACCAGGGACTAAACCAGGACTAAACCAGGACTAAACCAGGACTAAACCAGGACTAAACCAGGACTAAACCAGGACTAAACCAGGACTAAACCAGGACTAAACCAGGACTAAACCAGGGACTAAACCAGGACTAAACCAGGGACTAAACCAGGGACTAAACCAGGACTAAACCAGGACTAAACCAGGACTAAACGACTAAACCAGGACTAAACCAGGACTAAACCAGGACTAAACCAGGACTAAACCAGGACTGGAAAACCAGGACTAAAACCAGGGACCAAAAACCAGGACTAAACCAGGGACTAAACCAGGACTAAACCAGAGACTAAACCAGGACTAAACCAGGGACTAAACGGGACTGCACGGGACTGCAACCAGGAGTGAGCCAGTACTGATCCTGAACTAAACCAGGAATAAAATCAAAACTAAACCAGGTTAAACCAGGGCAAAACCAGGATTAAACTAAAGATGAACCAGGATTAAATCAGGACTAAACACAGAATATTAGAATATAAATTTCTGATTGTAACACATCAACTTGTTTTTCTTTATCGTGTTGTTACCTCCTCATAAACAGACCTGGAGTTGTGTTTTGTTTCATTCACACATGTTTGAGAAATCCTGGATTATTAGTCCATCTACATCTCCAAAGCTCAAAATGCCCTGTTCCACTTTGTGATGTCATGTAGTGGTTGTTTTCATGTTTAGTGTAGAGGTTGGCAGTTCCAGGGCTGAAATGATCCAAATGATTCTAATGAAGGTGTGTGGAGTTTAAAAACGACATCACGAGGTGGAACAGAGTGTTTTCGGTTTGAGAGAAGTCTAAATGTGCAGGGTTTGTGTGTTCAACTTGTGTGAATGAAACAAAACACAACTCCAGGTCTGTTTGTGACGAGGAAACAACATTAGAACACAGAAACAGAAAAACAGTGTAATAAAGGGTCTTTAAACAGATATTTTGTGCTTAGTTACCCACAGAGACGCATTCGTCACCCACTGTAGCATGAAACGTGATTAATAGCGTGAATATGAGGAAGAGGAGGAGGAGGAGTTTAAGGTGAAGGTGAAATAATGACCCTAATCTCTCGCTCTAATGGAGACTAAAGGTGTGAAAAAAACAGGAACGCCTCTTTACACGTGAATACTTTTACTTTTAGAGGACAAAAACACACATGTGCTCAATGTACATCAAGCTGCATTATGTGACTTTTCTGGTGGAGGGTTTGTCAAACGCTTGTCTCCATGGAGGTGTTGTTGCTTGTTATTGTCTGGAGTGTTTCACAGTATGGTATTAAACCTTTCAGTCTTCATGGAGACCAAACCAGACCAAGTTACAGGTCAGATCTGTGGAGAGGCGACCCTGCTCACAGTCAGAATGTTTGTTTTTCTAGCTATTTTTGAGTTTTAAAACCACCTGTGATTGAATAAATGTAAAGTAGAGCTGTTTAAAGTCATACTGTGGCACATTCAAACACAGCAGTGACATCTCCATAGAAACAAGCAGGTGATGGACCCCCAACAAAAAGTTACACAGTGCAACTTTAAAGTCATTGCAGTAGAAAAACAAAAAAAATCTTAGTCCACTTCTTTATACAGATTACCCCACATGCAAGATTAAGGAAGAGTGACATCACCCACAGCATCCAGATCCAGTCAAATGAAGCTCACAAGGCCGGCAGAAATAGGAGCTAATTTGGAGCTAGTTCCACATTAGAAAAAATTATTTAATTGCGAACAAAATGGCGAAATAAAAACACCAGGATCGCGTAGAACAGGTTAATACAACATTTTAAGACCAAAATGATGAAACTCACAGCAGTTGCAGAAAGAGGAGGGACAGATTTTCAATGAAGAGTCACTAGAATCATTAGTTTGATTTCAGCTCTGGAATTGCCAAAAGTTAAAAGGAGCTGTTCACTTGAAAACTACCAGTTCATGACATCACAACGTGGAACAGAGCATTTTGAGCTTTGGAGATGTAGATGGACTAATAATAAATTGTTACTGAAACAAGTGTGAATGAAACAAAACACAACTCCAGGTCTATTTTTGAGGAGGTAACATTATAACATGACTTACAACTCACAAGAATCCATTTTTTGTAACATAGGACCTTAATTTAACCTTTTAAATAAAATGTACAATGTATAATAAACTAAACTACACTTAATAAAAAAAAACAAAAAACAAAACGAATGTAAATGTAACTAACTCCACATTTAGGGATGTAATGATATCCAAATATCTTGATATATTATCATGATATGCATCTCATGGTACGATATTTACAACGATATTTACTGCGATATTTTGGAGAGGCTGATATAATTGTACACTTTTTTGCTTTTAAAATACCCTGACAAGTATTTGGTGTGAATTATTTCTGTCAAAATGTCAAAAATTCTACTAAAAAACATATTTCTTCATGTTGTTTGTACTAAAATGAATCATGGGCTATGGAGTTCTCTATGTTTATTTGCTACTATAAAGCCATGCATTTAAGCAAAGGAACTTGTAATTCGATATATTGTGACCCTGCACGATATTATTGTGAGACTTTTATCGATACGATATGATATTTAGGTTATTGTTACATCCCCATCCACATCTACAGCATTATTTTAGGCCTAAACTTAAACACAGGAAGTTCATCTGGCGTAGTAGGATATTTTCTGTTTTCTAACCTGATTTCTTGTCTCTCTTCAGCGTCGTGCTCCTGGCAGCAGGAAGAGAGACTCCATCACAGCCAACTCAACCGGAGAGGCCATCGGCAAAATGTTAGAAGCCAAAAAGATCTCGTCAAAAATAAACTACGACGTTTTGAAAGATCTGGACGTGAAACCAGGAGCGAGCCCGCCCGAAGTGAAGGAGGAGACCCAGAAGACCCCCAAACTCACTCCAAGAACCAAGAGAGCAGCCAGCCAACCCCTAACCCTCAGCACGCCGCTAAGCACTCTGGGAAAGAGGTAAGAACGGGGATGTGGCTCAAAGCTCCCAAGAGTAGATTTAGCATAATATACAACCGTTAAACTAATCCAAGAATGTATTTCAGAACATGTTTGTAGAGTCTAAACTACAGGTGCAATGAGATTTTTCTATTAAAAGACGGTGTATTTTTGATCCTTTGGAGACTCTATTATCTAAATAGCCTTTGTGATTTGAAAATAGCTCCAACTCAAATTGCCTTTTCAATAAGAGTGTAATATATTGTGCAGCTCGGGGTACAGGTGCATGGAGGAAATACAAGAGAACTATTCAGAGCTGAACAAGTAGAAGAGCACATAGACTAGTGTGCGCCCATGGACCACTGAGGAATTACACACATATAAAACACATGGGAATAGAAAAGAAAGTACTATGATTTAAAAGGTACACTGTGTAACTTTTAGTTGGGGGTCCATCACCTGCTTGTTTCTATGGATACATCTTTGCTCTGCCTGAAATGTTTCACTGTATAACATTAAACAGCTCTACTTTACATTTATTCAGTTAAAGGTGGTTTTATATCCCAAAAATACCTAGAAAAACAAACATTCTGACTGTGAGCGGGTCGCCTCTCCACAGATCTGACCGATAACTTGGTTCGGTTTGGTCTCCATGATGATAGAAAGGTTTAAAGCCATAGTTGCCGTTTACATGAGAGCTTTAATTCCGAATAAAAATGATTTAATCCTGAATTAAAATGAATTCTGCTTTAAAAAGACCATGTAAACACTTTAATTCCTGATGAAAATGATTATTTAAGATAAGATAAGATATGCCTTTATTAGTCCCACAGTGGGGAAATTCCAGTGTTGCAACGCACTATTTCAGAACAGCAGGAAAAGGTAACACAGATAATAAATAATAGCTTAAAAATAATTAAAAAATAGACTTAAAAATAATTGCACATGGTTATGATTGACTGGTACATGTTCAGTGTTAACAGTGTTTGGAATTGAACTTAATTCTGAAGTAAGCGGGTGGATTATTCCCAGTGTTTCTCACAGCGCTTTGACTTTGAGAAGCCTCCTACGTCCCTCCGAAACACGTGAATATGAACAAAACTACGGTTGTTGCTCGGAATCTCCACGCGCACTCCCCAACCCCCCGTAACCATTTATTCTTCTTAAAAATAATTGTGGTTGTTCAGCTCATGCTCGTTGAGTCGTCCTTCTGACACGATCTGGACAATCCGGCTCCACCAGTCCTGACTTTGGACTTTCATCCACGTCTCTTTGGATTTGTGAGTGGGATGCAGGAGTGGGCTGAGGTAGAACAGCCTCACACTCATTTTGTCTTCTTCTTCCCTTCTCCTCCTCAGCTGACAGACGTAAAGCGTAATGACAGAATTCTCCAGCTGCGAAAAAAATGTGGACCGTGTTTGTGTCCGTGGCGTAACAACAAACCGAGATGACAGAAAAACTGGTAGCAGCTGAAGTGTGTGTTTTCTTCCGATCGACATAAATACGTTCGTGTCTCCGTCCAATCAGAACCCTTCCCCACCCCCAGACCCTGAGCCCAATTAAATAAAAACGAGTTTACGTGTTTTCCAGAATTATTATTTCCACATAAACTCGAAGGAGAATATTTTAATTCAGAGCTATTTAATTCAGAAATATGTATTCAGAATTTAAAAAAAAAAAACATCATGTAAACGTGACCAGCGTGAAACATTCCAGACAAAGCAATAACATCTCCATGGAGAAAAGTATTTGACAAAGCCTCCACCAGAAAAGTTACACAATGCACCTTTAATGTTGAAAATCACGTTCTATTGTCTAAAGAAAGTGTTTTTTTTTTTTATTATCATTGTTGCATTCAGTGTCAGTCAGTGTTGAGTATTGATTCTATTCCTAAGTATGGAAATCAGCTTTGAAATTTCCATATTGAGACAAAACTTCTTCTATCTTCTGTATTTTCTTAATCAATACTTTGAAAGACAAGAGAGTTCATGGAAATACACTTTGTGAGCTAAATAAATCCAGATTTTAAGGAGCAGCCATCATATCATTTAGAAGTTTATTTTCGGCACAGATAGAAGAATAATAAACCTTGTATTGATGTGATTTTGAGATGGTGAGTATTGATTAGAGTTTAAAAGCAGCTTAGACGTGGCGGGCCGTGTGCACACTGACCTCCTCTGACAGGATGATGGATGGCATGTTTGGGGGTCTCTCTTTTAGCGGTTTTGTAATCTGAAACTTTATTGATCCACGTTTAACGCTTCCAAAACCGAGGTCAGAGGTTAAAGTCCGGGGCCGACGCGGAGGCAGACGGAGACGTGCGCTGCTCAACGGCACAATGGCACTGACAGCTTTGATCTCGGGGGACAAGACATGAAAATGAATATATGGTGCAGAGGAGGGGTCAGATCGCAGTCTGTATGAAGAAGTGGACTAAGGGAGTGTGGAGTCACCCGTAGTGTTCAGCTCCAGTCAAATGAAGCTCATCGATGCTGCAGTTATAAGGGCGAATTTGGAGTAGAGTTCCATATTAGGAATAGGAATTAATTTACGGGCAAAATGGAGAAATAAAAACACCAGGATCATGTAGCAGTGGGTTAATACGAACATTTTAAGATTCATTGCAGCAGAGAGGAGCCACAATATTGCAATGTAAGTCAATGGGAGCCAGAGTCTGAAGGAGCCAGAAGAGCCGCATGTGAACTTCCTATGTGGAATGTGGCAGCTTGTGCATTAGCTATGTCCATTCATATATACAGCATGGATCTATAATAAAAACTGGATAAGCCCCTCCCCCTCTGTCCCGGCTTGAAACTAGTGGCCGCTCCAGGTACTGCAGCTCCCAGGAGCTTGGGCCCAGAAAGAATTCTCCCATAAAAGCACAATGCATTTTTTGGTAATTCAGGGCATCCACAGCTTTCACAAAGGTCAGATTTTGTAGAGATTGTTTTCTATTTTCACAACATAAAAGTTTTAACATCTTTAAATTCTCACAGGGCCTAAAAGTGCTCGTTGTGTGAAAGGCCTAGGGAGACTAGATGTCCCTATTGACCCGGGACAGTCCCAGTTTTGAGCCCTGTGTCCCCTGTCCCAGCAGATTGATACAAAACCACTGATTTGTTCCAGTTTTATACAAGAAATGTCCCAGGTGTCTCTATTTTTGACCAATCTGATCCCTGCCAGCAGTAAAGAGAGACACACACTTAAAAACGACCATGAAAATGTGACTGTACTGAGTCCAGGGTATCTGCAGGGTCTTAAAAGTCTTAAAAAGGTCTTAAATGTCATGTTCCTAAATTAAGGCCTTAAAAAGTCTTAAATGATGTTGTCCAAGTCTTATTTTTCATAAATGTCTTAAATTTCATTAGGTTATTTTTTGTAAACTCAACCGGTCTGCAGTGCGATGTTAAATGGAGGAAGGAAAAAAAAAACATCAACGTGAAATCACATGAATGAACGTCTAATTTGGATTATGCAGAAAAAACTTTGGTTTCTGGTGCTGGCGGCAATGAGTAAATAATCAGTATAGTGGAGGAAGACGGATGGATCATGGGGAAGTGTAGGTTTAGTCCACAGTGGCTCTTAAGTTCTAGATGTAGTACCGTAGTTGGTTGATCATTTATTAGATTTGGATCTGGTGTTTTCCGCCCACATAACAGGTGCGATGTTGGTCTTAATTTTCATTTAAGTGGTCTTAAAAAAGTCTTAAAAAGTCTTAAATTTGGGGTAGTTAAACCTGGGGATACCCTGTGAGTCACATTAGTGCCAAGTACAGGACAATTTTTCTTAAGTACACACTCATTTCACAATTTTATTATGTCCAATCAAAAAAGGGATGTTTCAGTTTTTTATTTTCTAAAATCTGATCACCCTACCTCACCCCGCTTTGAGCCCGCACTAGCTCTGCTCCAGCAACTCTCACTCCAATTGGTCCAAAAGCAACACTATAGTTTGGCTCCAGTCAAATGAAGCTCACTGAGGCTTGCAGTTATAGGGGCGAATCTGGACCAGAGGGTCATATTATGAAAAAGAATTTATTTATGGACAAAACAGTGAAATAAAAACACCAGGATCATGTAGAATGGGTTACCGTATTTTCCGGGCTATTAGATGCACTCTTAAGCCTCTAATCGCATCAAAAAACGACCGCGCCCCACAATCCAGAGCGCCCCATACACGAATCCACTCAGGTGTCCCAGCACGACTTCAGTAAACTACAAAGCCACACCACCCACAGAACACACAAACACACACGGAGCAGACAGCGACCGCACAGCCAAACACACCCACAGACACACTCATCACTCCACGCCGACGAGGAACGGAATGGAGGAACGAACCGAAAAAGCGAGTGCAATGTGCCACTTCTAGACACAACTGAACAACTGAGTCACTGTGAACACGCCGACAATCCGTTGGTCCCAGACACACCCTCCCTACACGCCACAACTGAACAAAGCCCAGAGTCACCGTGAACGAACAAACAAACAAAACCACTCACCCATCACACTGTTGGGTTTCATTTAAAGTCCTGTGTGGTTTATTTGTGAAAAAATTTCAAAAATAGACCATTTAATGACAGTGCGTCTTATAATCCAGAGCACCTAATAGCGTGGAAAATACGGTAATATGAACATTTTAAGAACAAATTAACTAGGTTCCCAGCAGCAGTCAGAGAGAGGGGGGACAAATTTTCATTGTAAAGTGAATTTGTTGTCGATGGAACCAGAAGCGCCCCCATGCTCACTTCCTGTTTGGAGCACGGCAGCTCTCAAATTGACTATGTCCATTTATATATACAGTTTATGTCTCAGATCTAACAGAGGATGCAGAGGAGAGGCGGTGGTGGTTGTTGTTGTGGTTGTTGTTGTTTTTAGCCCCATTTGAACCGCTCTACTTCACAAATGGCTTTTTCTTTATGAATGAAACATCCTGTTTTTAAGAATGAACCTTTCACCTGAAATCGTGTCTATCAAAGATTCATTCACAAAACACTCTCTACTTTTGAATTACAACATGTT